CCCTCCCTCCGATCTGAACTAAGCTGATCTTTCAGCTATTTATAGGTGATTAGGGGGTGTAACCGCCCCTAAAATCACTCCTTTGTAGGGCTAATAGGATATGACCGCCTCTTAAATCACTCCCGAGTGGAGTTGTGATCCCCTCAGATCGTGGAAAATGGTTTTGAAACCGTTCAACTCGTGTTTGAATGAGTCAAACATAAAATCCGCGTTCTGGCATGAATTCTGTGTTCAAACGTAGCGTCTGGAAGCTCATTTGTAGCATCTGGAAGCTGCATTTATAGCATTTGGAAGCTACGTTTGCAGCAATTTGGAAGCTGTGTTTGTAACAATTTGGAAGCTGTATTTGGCAGCGAATGGAAGCAGTGTTGGTAGCTTTCGGAGACTGCGTTTGCGGCCGAACATGAGCTGCGTCGTGAGCTTGAGCTATGTCAGCGATGGCTGATAAGGAGCTGCGTCCGCGGTTGAATTGGCGCTACGTCTTGATGCTGAAACGCATGGAGGACTTCCGCGTCTTGGTTTGAGGAGACCGTTAATTTGTAATCTCTTTTTGTCAGAATATTACAAAGATCTTCGTTTTGTAATATTTGCTTTAGCTCTTTGATATGTGAGAGTCGTCAGGTTGTAACTCTCGCTGTTGATTGTGAAGACTGTTGATTAGAGCTTTCATCAGTTGTTGTGAAGATCGTCAGATTGTAACCTTCATCGATCTACATGAAAGTTTTTAAATTATAGACTTCTGGAAACCATCAAATTGTAATTTCTATCATCGGTGTTTGATGAGGATCAGCTATCTGCAGTAATTTTTGGACAACCTACAGCTCCATCGAAGAACAATTTCCATACTCGCACAACTTCTTGAGTCATGCAAGCTTTTGCAACCTCATCTGGCAATTCTTCATATAATTTGGAAGAATCAGTTACTAGATGGTCGGCTAAGAAATCAGCCAAAATTTGGCCTTTGATAGACTTCTGAGGCATGAATTGCATTGTATACCATGACAGAAGGATCGCCCATCTTGCAAGGCGACAATTTAGTGAAGAAGGTTTCGTCATGAGTACCCTCAAAGGATTTATCTTAGAAATGATATGGACTGTTTGTTTGACTAGGTAGTGCCCCATTTTATGGATTGCGAACACTAAAGCAAGGCACTCTTTCTCTACTGGGCTGTTTCGATGTCCAGCTTCGATCATGGTTCGGCTGAGGTAGTAAATTGTCTGTTCATGATCTTGGTCGTCATTCAGAGCTAAAAAAGCTCCAAGGGAATGATCCATAGCTCTCACATATAATAGGAATGATTTTCCTAATACTGGGGCCACTAGGATGGGTGGTTGGGTGAGGTATCGCTTGATTTCCTCAAATGCCTTTTGTCAGTCTTCATCCCAAACAAATGATACTTCTTTATTCATTAACTTGGTGAAGGGTTGGCAGTGTCCCGAAAAGTTGGACATAAATCTTCGGATGTAGGCAATCTGCCTTGCAAGCCTCTGAGCTCTTTGATGTTCTTCAGAGACGACATTTCTTGGATGTCACAGACTTTCTCCTGGTTGAGGGAAATTCCCTTGAACGTAACTATAAATCCAAGGAATTTACCGCTAGCTACCCCTAGGAAAGACTTGGTTGGATTCATCTTCAAATGATGTGCCCGTATAATGTCGAACATCATCTTCAGATCTGAAAGATGATCACCTTTATTTTACCTTTTCACTGCAATATCATCCACGTAACACTTAATCTTCTTACGTAGAGGTTTCTGAGAGATTGTATTCATGAACGTTGATAGGTTGCACCAGCGTTCTTCAGCCCGAAGGGCATCACTGTATAACAATACACCCCCAGTAGTGTACTGAAGACTGTGTGCTTTTCATCTTCAGGGTATATTTTGATTTGGTTGTATCCTGAGAATCCATCCATAAAAAACATTCTTTCATACCCACAAGTATTGTCGATCATGACATCTGTGATGGGAATGTAGGCATTAAAAATTACATATAGGTTCCAAACATAGCTCAAGATGAAAAGAAGACGAAAAACATCATCATCTAAGTCAAAGGAGATCATCAGAAGTAAGAAAAAGCAAAGGAGTATGCGAAATAACGCAAAAGAAGAGTCAGAGCTGTCTCACAGTTGGTGAGACATCGTATGTTGTCTCGTGTGACCGAGACAGTATACACTGTCTGGGCCACACGAGACAGTCGCAGCTGTCTCACCAACTATGAGACAACTACCCCTTATTTTCTAACAGTTTTGATTGGTTTCGAGTGGTTTACACGACTTCATAACTGCTTGGGAACATCCATAAATGCAGAGAGGCCATTACAAACTAAAAATCTACCCATAATCTCTGAAAACCATGACGTTTAACAGAATGGGTGTCGGTTACAAACTGCCTGGAACTACTCCCTTTGGCCGAGATAGTGAACACTGTCTTGCCCAAAGGGATTGACGGTTGCGGGTTGTTTTAGTTTCTTATCTTCAGTAACAGCTTCCAGAGGCTATAAATACCTCATTAGCACCCATATGCACGAGGACCAAGCAAATCTAAGAGCAAAGACTTTGCATCTTGGCGAACTTGTGAGCACGAGAGAGAATTCTTCACCATTTTCAAAAGATCTCAAGAGCCTTCAGCGTTTCCTCGGTTTCAAACGTCAATTTGATATCGGGAAGAGTATTTATCTTACTTCACTAAGATATTTACTTCAGATTGTTGTTTCCAAGATGAATAATGACTTAAAGTCTTCTTCACGATCAACTCGGATCGTTAAATTGGTTGTCCACGAGCTAATGCGTCCCCGACACAGGCAAAGATCCCACGCAAGCAGTGACTAATAAATAGTCTCTGCGTGTATTTCTAGGGAGTTTTCTTTTTGTTTTATTGTAAAGATAAGTCTCTTACAAAAAGGCTCACTCTTGTGTCTCTATTTGTAATCGATAAACGATTATAATAGATTCTATAATAAAATTGATTCTCGACGCAAACACGCTAGCGACTACAGTGGAAGCCACCAGCCTCGGCGTCGAAGCTGGAGTGTCACAACTGATGAAGATCCCAGTTGACCCAACGGTCGAGTATGAGTTCGACCAAACTAAGTTCGAGGAGTATCTCTCCTCATACTCATCAAGGTCTTCATCGCTCCGCAAGTGCAGGAAGATTTCATCTTCAAAGAAGGTTTCTGATCTTCAACTCCGATGAAGGCTATGGGTGATGACTCTCGCCCAGTCGTTGCTGAGGCTTCCCCTCGCAACACCACTCTGGCGATCAACGAAGTCGGAGGCTCTGCTCACAATGGCTCCTCCCCAGTTAAGGAGTCATTCAATACAAGTTACTAACTCTGATGAAGAGAACTCGTCAGAGACAACGCCAATGTCTTGCTCGTCAGCTTGCGAAGGCCTTGGAATCGGTAGATGGATTTCGCTATTTTGTGGACTTGGAGTCTAGGAAACATCAAGCAACTAGATCAATCCAACAACAAATCGCTGGCAATTACTCCAAGCCATCGACTGAAGAGTGGGTTCTCAAATTTAATCAAAATTAATAAATTGATCAAGACAAACTAGAAATTATTCTCTTATAAAAACCTTGCTCAATTTCTTCACTTCATGATCCTTCCCCAAAATCTGATATTTGAGGAAAAGATGGAAGAGAAGGTTTGTGGACGATGAGGATAATTGATGAGGTAGAGAGAGCGGGACTGCGTTACCAAAGGAATTTCGTAACGGATGGAACAGAGAAGGGAAGGAATGAAGATTTAGGGTTTTACATCTTTTGATTTGTGAGTAATGGGAAAAAAATTTACCTTCGTTAAGTTAATAAAATGAAAGATGAGGACAACTTTGTTATATTTACAATAGCTGAAGGGTAATTTGGGGTAGGAAAAGTTTTTTGGGTACTCCCTCTTTTAAAAGGTAGATGATAGATGATAGATGATTAGGGGCTATTTGGATGCCTTAGTGAAACTAGGGTTATGATATAATATGGAAAGCGGTTATCCACCTCACAACTTACCATTTGAGTATTTACAATGTTTGGTTAGGAATCATTATGAATCCTAAAATAAATAATATTATATTATTTGGATAGCATAATGTAAACTTGAAAACTGATAGTTATGTGTATCCTATTAAAATGTTTAATTCATAATGGATAGGATTACCATCATGATACACAAAACACTCTAATAAGGCCCCTCTCATAAGAATGGAGGGACCTTATAGTAATTTTAATTATTTGAGAGACTAATTTTGAAAATCATTAAGAATGGAACCTAATACTACTTCAAAGATTTGAGTGGCTAATTCAAAGTTTGAAAGATTAAGGGCTAAGTTGAAAAGGAAAAGAAATAATTTATGGTTATTGTAATCACACGGAGTGCTTTTGTTTTGTTTTTTTCATTTCTTTGTATCTAGCTGATACATCGCCATCTTTTCAACAAAATCACTCCAAATTAGAGTGATTTTGCATTCTACTACACCTTATCAAAATATGTTAGTTTTTCATGTCAAAGAGATTCAAACAAACATGGTAAAGTAATGAAAGCTGACTGTGGGGCCCATTAACCGACAGCTTTGTCAAAGAGATTCAAACAAACATGGTAAAGTAATGAAAGCTGACTGTGGGGCCCATTAACCGACAGCTTTACATAATTTTCATAGCAAAAAATGGTAAAGTAATGAAAGCTGACTGTGGGGCCCATTAACCGACAGCTTTACATAATTTTCATAGCAAAAAAATGCAACCAAACTGGCCCTTTGATAGATATGTTCTTTGAAATTTTAACACATGTCAAATGCTCTAGAATTTTGACACGTGACATTTCACGATATTACTTTAGTTTATTGTATAGATAGATGCGTATTTTTATGGACCAGAGCCCGGCATAAAAAACTAAGCCAATTTTAACCAAAAAAATTTGTTTCTACCAAAATCGAATACATAAAAAGCCCATCACTAAATCCCGGCCCGTTTATATACCTAAATAATGAGTTGATCGGTTCTCGAATTTTATTAGAGCCCGTACTCTTCTTACTAGAGCCCTCAAGTTTTATTCTTCGTCCCCAAGTTTTGCTTCCTCGAAGAAAGACTTACTCGAAATTTGTCGATCGTTTTCGTGGAGATCTTGATTGTCGCGAAATGGTTAGTCTTTATAATTTCTCTATTTGATCTTAGCTCTCTCTCTTTTTCCTTAGAAAATTTCCCTTTTTTTGTTTGAAAGTTAGGGTGTCAGGTCTTCAAGTAATCGATTTTTTGGCTGAGCTAGGGTTATAAGAAAGTAGATATCTTGATTTTATTAGATGTATGCGCGCTTCAAGCTCTAGATTTGGATTTGATCCTCGTGATTTGTCGAAAAAGATTGAGATTTTTTTTTCTTTTTTTTAAGGTTGAAAGGATGTGCTTGATCTTTCATCTTCCGTGGATCTCAAATATATCAATAGGTTATTTTTTTTAAGGTTGAAAGGATGTGCTTGATCTTTCATCTTCCGTGGATCTCAAATATATCAATAGGTTATTACTTGAGTTTTAAAGTTTACACTTTCAATCTTTCATCTTCCGTGGATCTCAAATATATCAATAGGTTATTACTTGAGTTTTAAAGTTTACACTTTCAATTTCAGATATATGGATTTGATTCCTTAGGATAATCAAATAGGTCCAAGTTGTGCAAAAAGCCATTTTTTATTAGATTTCTAATTTTTTCTGGTTTTATTGTCAAAATAGGCTGCAAAGATTCTTGCCAACTTGATCGTTATGGGTTCTGGGATATTGGGAAGAGCCGTATTTCAAGCTTATCGCAAAGCACTGGAAAGTAAGTTATTTTCTGCCTCGCGATGGGTTTTTATTCTTCTCTTTGTTTTATTTGTATGACGAGAGCACATTTTCACTCATATTTTATTCAAAATAATCACTTATTTTGATATTTCTTTCTGTGGGTATGCACAATGATCTGAGTTTGGAAGCTATTCTGGTGCTAGATTTCATTCTTAATTTTGTCCTCTTCTAATATATCTACATTATTCTCTTTCATCAATACCACTTTATACTTATATTATATCTTTGTTTTCGCTACATAATATGTACACTAGGTTCTTCTCTTTATTGCAGCCTTCAGTTCTTATTCTATATGATCCCTTATCTTTTTTATTTCAATTATAATATTCCTCTTAGGTAACTGGATCCCGTTAATTGCTTATTATAGGTGGTTAGAATCAATGGTGTGCTTGCTTTTTAGTTCACTTCTGTCTGGGTTTCGACTTGAGCATATCTTTTGTAAGTTTATGACTGCCTCGGTCATACCTAGAAGTCATTGGCTGGTAACTGGTTTAATAGTAAAGAATAAGATAGATCTCTTGGTGTAATGGGAATACTGGTATGAATGTTGTACATAAAAATCTTAGGTGCTTTGGCATAGATCGATACTGCCGCTGTTTTAGGCTACAACTGCTACTGAAGGCATCAGGCCTCAAGTAACATGAGATAAGGACATAGCAAGTGTGAGCATATTATTGTGACCTATCATGTGCTTCTATCGATCCTTTATCAAGATAATATTTGCTCTTTGCCTTAAGATTAATCTACTATTCTATATGGTTTTGTTGGTCTAGGTAACCATCTAAATAAGCATGGGATGCGTTGTTGTCAACAGTCTCAAAAGGGTTTTTCTAAAGCCCCTTTGTAGTTGGGGGAAAAAATCACTGGCCTGTTAAGAGCAAATAGCATCTCTAAATAGTAGCAACATATGAATAACGATGGAGAGTTGAAAGGCAAAGAAAAATATATCTCTATGTAGTTTTTGTGACCGAAGAAGTTTTTTGGGGTCTCCCAAGAGAAATTGTTGTTGGTTTGGTAATCTGGACAAATATGTCTATGTGGCAAATATATGCATGATGTGTGAAACTATGGACTTGTTGGTTTGGTAATCTGGACAAATATGTCTATGTGGCAAATATATGCATGATGTGTGAAACTATGGACGAGATATGTATTTTTGATTATGTATTTGAATATTTTATCATAATAACTCTTAGTAAATTAATATAGCTTGTATAAATTTAGGTCCCAAGAGAAAATGTTGGTTTGGTAATTTGGACAAATATGTCTACGTGTCAAATATATGCATGATATGTGAAATTATGGACAAGATAGAATCCGACCCGTACTCTTCTTATTAGAGCCCTCATATTTTATTCTTCGTTCCCAAGTTTTGCTTCCTCGAAGAAAGACTCTTATTTGAAATTTGTCGATCATTTTCGTGGAGATTTTGATTGTCTCGAAATGGTTAGTCTTTATAATTTCTCTATTTGATCTTTTAGCTCTCTCTCTTTTTCCTTAAGAAAATTTCCCTTTTTTTTGTTGTCAGGGTTTGAGGTCTTCAAGTAATCGGTTTTTTGGCTGAGCTAGGGTTCTAAGAAAGTAGATATCTTGATTTTATTAGATGTATGCGTGCTTCAAGCTCTAGATTTGGATTTGATCCTCGTGATTTGTAGAAAAAGATTGAGATTGCACGAGTGCTTAGCTTTATTACGATCACGGTTTTTTCTTTTTTTTTTAAGGTTGAAAGGATGTGCTTGATCTTTCATATTCCGTGGATCTCAAATATATCAATAGGTTATTACTTGAGTTTTAAAGTTTACACTTTCAGTTTCAGATATATGGATTTGATTCCTTAGGATAATCAAATAGGTCCAAGTTGTGCAAAAAACCATTTTTTATTAGATTTCTAATTTTTTCTCAGAGTAACTGCAAGTGTTGGAATAAGAACCAACATGTGTAAATAATGTAGTGATTGAATTTTGCCCATCTGTGGATTGACTTTGTGTTGTGCTTTGATAGCCGATCTTATTTGGAATGTGAAAAGATTTGATGATATGATGTTGATGGTGTCGACAACAATTGGAGGCTCTTGATTCTTATAATATCTTTTGTGTTTGCCATTACAGATGCCAGCAAAAATGGTGTTGCACACGAAGCGATTAACAATATCCGAAGACCGAGTAAAGTTTTGACGGAACAAGAAGCTAGGCAGATTTTAGGACTGACCGAGCAGGCATCATGGGAAGAAGTTTTGCAGGTAATTTACCTTTGGTTTTGATATTTTCTTTTTCTTTTATGTTAGATATTTATTCTTCAGTTCTCTATTTTGTTTCGTTATGTTATTCATTTATTCTTCAATTATACACTCTCCATTTCTATTTCCCTACGTTGTACCTGGATGGGAAAAATTTAAGAATTGATGTCAATTGCATTCTTTGCTATGATTTGTTGGGAGTGTATAGTTATAGAATTTGTTGGTAGGAAATGGTGCAAGAAAATTTAAAAATTGGAATTTTAGGAGAACTTCCCATTAATGATTTTGGAGAGTTCTCACTTTTCCTGGGAATATTTAAGTTGCCATGTTCTGAAGTCTTATAGTCGGTTTATTTGTAATGTGCATACAGAGTATAGTGATTTTTGTGCATCTGATGTCTGAAAGTCTTACTACATGCAGAAATATGATGCATTGTTCGAGCGGAATGCTAAGAATGGAAGCTTCTATATTCAATCAAAGGTTCACAGAGCTAAGGAAGCTTTAGAGAGTGTCTACCGAGGGGACAGTACAGGAACCAGTTGAAATATACCTGATTTTTTTTGTTCTGGGTGAGAGGAAGCCATATACATGTTGCATTTATATCCTTTGAAGTCCCATGTTCTAAATTAGCAAGTAATGATTTATGGAAGAGGAAATGTATATATATTCCTAAGCCTGATGTATAACTTCAAAAGAATAAGACCTTGGATGTTGGCTTGTGGCGGCATAACAAAGGGCGTGAAGTGAAAAAGGAGCGTGCGCTGAAGTTTTGAATCGCGGAGATTGGCGACTGTGTTCTATTTGAACCTTGTTGATTGCTTAAAACCTTAAGTGTAGTAGAATAATCTTGTGGATGTCATTTTGACATTTTATTAGTATCTCATCTGAGGATGTTTTGCTGCAGGGCAGGAGCAAAAAAGCCTTTATGCTTTGCTTGATGAATGTTTTGAGATCATTATTTGGCGGGTTCATTATTTTTTTAAAACATGTAGCGTGCGGTTGTTTTCAGTCTGTTTTATGCTCTTTGCTCATGCGGTGCCGTAGGAAGTAGTTCGTTGTTTTGTTCTGTTCGGTTCTCTCTCTCTCTCTCTCTCTCTCTCTCTCTCTCTCTCGAGCTATTTGTTGGTGGTGGGTGGTGCTGATCTCTGTTAGTTTCCAACAGCGGGCGGTGGTGACCGAGTTCATATCAGTTATCACATGTGACTGATCTCTCCCGAGTTTGAATTCAGTTATTCTTACCCCCTCCCCTCTCTCTCTCTTCCCCATCTTGGATTGGATCCAATTCCCATTCTTTTTTTCGACCTGTTTAGATCGAAGACTCCCTTCTCCGTCCTCTGTTCAGACGACGGCAATCGGATCTGGATCCTTTCAGCTACCGCCCATCCTGATCACAAAGGTATTGTTCTTTCCCATTCTAGGGTTAGGTTTTTTTGCCCCCTCTTGCATTCTTATCAATTTGTAAATTTAAATGCTGTATTACCTGCCTATTTGTAAATTTAATGATAATGTAGTAGTATTCTTATCAATATTACCTTCCTATTTGTAAATTTAATGATAATGTAGTAGTATTCTTATCAATTTCAAATCTTGGATTATATTGCATTAGAAAGATTCGACATCGATAAGTTTTCTTTTGCGAAGGGCATTAAATGGTTCTTTTTTGTTATTAATCATTAATTTTAGGATTTAGTTTGTATGTGTGAACGAATCTTACTGGATTATTTTGCTAACATCCTTGATTAGGTGTAGGGTTGTATCGATTATGTTTTTCCTCTCTAAAATTTTTGTCTATTCTTTATGTATGTAGATTATCCCTGCATCGGAGGAACAAATATCATGAAGAAGGTTTTTGGACAAACTGTTAGGGATCTGTAAGCATCTTTTACTCACTTTGAAATTGACTTATATTTTATCTGTATCAATCCTATTTTCTTCAAATTTCAGCATTTATACCTCGTCATGTTGTACTTGTAATATCATTTTGCCCCATTTTGGTCGGCCTCATGCAATATCTGTTATTTCGAATTTCAGTATTTTTTTAATTTTTCTTTCTCCTATTTCTTTTCGTTCTTTTTTTTGGAGAAACTCCTTGAACTTGTTCCACGACACCGCCTTCTTCTCCTGCTTGCAGTAGGATTTCCACCACGTCAACGCGTGCCCTGAAAGCTTCAAAGTCGCGAACACAATCTTCTCTTTTGACGAATAGTCATAAAGAGTAAAATACGTCTCCATCCGTTCGATCCAGTCATCAAGCCTCTCGACGTCAACACTCCCATCATAAACAGGAATCTCCACCTTGAAATCAATCTTCAGGTTCTGATAAGAATTCTTACCCCCTTGATGTAATGCAGCCTTAACGACAGGATCTGATTGCTCTGATACCAACTTGATACCAGTCGCCGTGCGAGCACCCTTTGGTCGCGGAATTACCAAAAGGTGGGTTGAGAAGAAGACAACTAAAACACAAGAACAATTCAGTATGACGAAGGAAAATACCTTCTCTAGATTATGAAGAATCAATTATTACAAGTCTCTCCCTCACAATCTCACTAGAATCGAGAATAACCTCTCAATCCTCTCTAAACCCTAACACAATGATTAGAATCTCTCTTAATTACCTCTGATTCTAAGATCTCATAGATGCTCACAATCTAAACCCTAATCCTTTTGATTAGGATCTCACTTAGAACTAAAACCCTTTAGATCTACATCTTGGCCTCTCACCTTTCTGTTTAGAACCCTAAACAGTCCCTATTTATAGGGTTTACAACGTGGTGGCAATCTGGTAAATAACCAGACCAAACCCAAACAGGAAAACACGTAAACAGAATACTTAACCAATCTGGAAAGCTCCGATGAGTCGATTCATGAACAGTTATGAGTCGACTCATGACCTCATATGAGTCGACTCATAACTGATGAGTCGACTGGTCAGAGACGTTTTGCTAACAGGGCTTGATTTCTTGAGTCGACTCAAACATACACATGAGTCGACTCATGAGGCTGAAAACTGAGGCTTCGATTCTTTGATTCTTCGCCTAGCTCCACGCTCCATCCTGTGCTCCGCCGTGTCGTTTCACACCACTATTCTCAAGATATCATGAGAATCTCCTATCCTCAAGCTCTCATGAGGATCGCTTTTTCTGAAGAGCCCGTATCATTACTAGACGATGTTGCGGTCATGAGTACCAGGTAATCATGTCAGTAATCTGGAGAAGGATCAATGATACTGGAAAAAATGGAGTCACGTTTTTAAGATGATGCAATAGCTTGCCATTTTCCATTATGTGGCGTATCTGTAAATGTTTTCTATGTCATGTTTGTGAACATTTTGAGACCTCTAAACTACATAACTTCTGTAAGTTGTTAGTCTGGTGTACATATATTCTGATTAAAACATTACTGCCATGTAGTTGTATAGTTTTGCAACATTACTATCACCATGATAAGTATCAACTTATACTTTCTTTCATTAACTTCCAGGCGTTGAGAGTTCTGGAGTATCTAGTAGCACACGGATCTGAACGAGTAATTGACGAAATCAGGGAACATGCTTACCAGATATCGGTAATATATGATACCTCCCACTATTGTGCTACTTGTTGTCAGCATATTTTATCTAATTTGCAATTGTCATGACTGGAAGTTTATTTGACATTCCAGACTCTAGCAGAATTCCAATACATTGATTCTGGTGGAAGAGACCAGGGAATTCATGTTAGAAAGAAATCCCAGACTCTTGTGGCACTAGTAAATGATAAAGAAAGAGTACAGGAGATCAGACAGAAAGCACAAGCTAATAAGGCATATAGGCAAAGTTTATATACGGGTACAGGGGGTTACGGTGATCATCATGATGATGATCGTTATGGATATAGTATTGATGAGTGGAATGGGTATGGGGATGACGAGAGATACGGCGGGGGTAGGAATTCTGATGGATGGAATGGCAGAGATGTCTATCAGGACGACAATCACAGAGGTCGTGGTAATGATAATAATCAGTATAAGCCAAGAAGTCGCAGCATTGATGGAAGTGATGATGATTGTTATTCATCTCGGTAAAACCTTTTTCCTACAAGCATATAAGATCTTATTTGCTGCATATATTTTCTACGCTAGTGACACTTCATGGTCTAGGACAAATTTTTTGCTGCATGGAGCTATGCCATCTCAAGTAAATCCATATTTTATTAAATATTTTAATTTATCTCACGTGTATGACACAATTCTTCTTAATATTACAGAAGTGGTGGTGACAAAGCTGATAGGTCTCCAGATGAAAGGTAAATCAAGGAACTGGGCTTTTCCAGCTAATAAGAAAGTTCTTAAATTTTCTGGCATAGAGCAGAAGGTATATTATCTCATTTTGATGCCGAATTGAACAAATTTTAGTTGATTTGAAATGTTACTCTTTACAACAAGGAACTTGAAAGTTGGCATATAACTTCACTAATTCAAATCAAAGGATCGCTTCTGTGTATAAGACTTAAAAAAAATTAATTTATAGAAAATAAGAAACCATATTTTCTGTCAATCTCGTTGGAAGAAATTCCAACATGCTATTAGAGTAACTATATTTTCTAGAAAACCAATGTACTATTCTTTCTTTGTTATTCAGATTCTTGATGCAAAAAGCAATGAGCCTTGGGGCCCTCATGGAACAAATCTATCAGAGATTGCACAGGCAACTTGTAACAGGTAACTTTATACTTGTCTACTTCCATTTACTTCCCTCTTATCTTTTCCTTTACAAGATTAGTTTCTCAATACTTACTTGATACGAGTCGTCGTGTGAGCACCATTTGGTCGCGGAATTACCAAAAGATGGGTTGAGAAGAAGACAACTAAAACACAAGAACAATTCAGTATGACGAAGGAAAATACCTTCTCTAGATTATGAAGAATCAATTATTACAAGTCTCTCCCTCACAATCTCACTAGAATCGAGAATAACCTCTCAATCCTCTCTAAACCCTAATACAATGATTAGAATCTCTCTTAATTACCTCTGATTCTAAGATCTCATAGATGCTCACAATCTAAACCCTAATCCTTTTGATTAGGATCTCACTTAGACCTAAAACCCTTTAGATCTACATCTTGGCCGAAAGAATGCTCCATCGCGCGCATGTAGATCAGGAAGGGTTTCCCTGAGACGGGGGCCGCCAGTCTTGGCGGATTCGAGAGAGAAGTTTTGATCTCATTGAACGCTTGTTGACAAGCTTCGTCCCACACAAAGGAAACACCTTTCTTCATCAGCTTGGAGAAGGGTTGGCATTTACCCGAAATATTTATGATGAATTTTCGGATGTAAGCTAAATGTCCTTGTAGTCCTCTCAACTCATTGAAATTCCTGGGCAGTTGAAGCTCTTGAATAGCTCGCACCTTGTCGGGGTCGATGTGAATTCCATTCGTCGTGACGACAAATCCAAGGAACTTGCCACTCGACATGTCTAAGAAGGACTTCGTAGGGTTCATCTTCAGTTGATGAGATCGCATGAGTTCGAACATCGCTCTCAGATCTTGAAGGTGATCGTCTTTGTTGTGACTCTTTACGACCAAGTCATCTACGTAGCATTCGTCTGTCTTTCATAGATGATCTTGAAAAATGGTGCTCTTGGTGCGTTGATAGGTTGCGTTGGCGTTCTTAAGTCCGAAAGGTATAACTGTGTAACTGTATTCCCCATTGGAGTTCTGAAGGAAGTGTGCTTTTCATCTTCGGGATGCATTTTGATTTGATTGTATCCCGAGAATTCGTTCATGAAGGACATCCTTTCGAAGCCGCATGTGTTGTCGATGATGACGTCCGTGATGGGCAGAGGAAACTCGTCACTCGGACATGCAACATTGAGGTATTTGAAGTCGATGTAGATACAGATCTTGTCGTTCTTTTTCAGGACTGGAACAATGTTAGCCACCTAATCAGGGTGCTGTTCCTCTCTGATGAAGCCTGATTCGATCAGCTTTTTTACTTCGGCTTCG